AAATATTGACTCCAAGTGGAATATGCATATCACAGGAGATCATCAACTACTTCAAACAACTCTGATCATATTATAATCAGAATTGTAAACGATCAAACAAAAAAGAACATTTTAATATGCAGTGCAAATGTCTTTTTATGTTTCTTAGATAATAGTAATTTATATTGCTGTAATAAAACTTAAGCCTGACTGAACATGTTCAAGACATGGAAAAGCTTTTCCTGGAAGTTATTATCACCAGGAATACTCTCAGTCCAACACAGTTAATTATTCAGAAAAATTCATGTTAAAAGGTGTACTGACTTTTACAGGGGGTTAAGATATGAAACTTAATTTATGTCTCATGTTCATATCTTTTGTATGTTGTATATTAACCTTTTTATATTTTGTCATAACATTTTTATTAATGAAAATAGTAATAAAATTTTGTAGCATATTGGTACACATATCTATATGTATATACATATTTTTTACTTTACAATTCCAATATATTACATCATCCTAAGTGATCATATTTTAGATGTCGATTTTATACAAACCTATTTTATGTCTGAAGAATGTATTAGCCCTGCATCCCTGATTCTATTGACAAGAAAAATATTCCTAGGTCACATTCTAAGACATACTGGTCTACAAGCCATTAATTTCTTTGACAACAGTTTGAAATTTTGCAATGCCTTTAACACAGTACTTTTGCAAAATAACTTCTAAAATAATTAAATTAGAATCTAAATGCATTTAAAATGAAAATGTGAAGTTTAGGATTATTTTTTCCCTAATAAGATTAGAATTCAAACATAAGTGTATTTCAAGGACAATATAAAATGACGATGTAGATATATGATGTCAACACAAAGTCAAACATTCAAGACAACTAAGATGTGGAACTAAAATGCCAAACTTTCAGACCCAAAAAGCACTCTGAATTTTTATATAGATATTCATATCTTTAATAAAAATATTTACCTTCAGTTTATTGTATAAAGTATGTCTTTGTTCTTATAACTGCCTTAAATATTTATTTTTAGGTTAAATTTACCATCAATTAAACTCTGATTGACTATTATATATTTTCAGTAAGCTAGAAGAGAATGTAATCATAGCATTTCAAGAATCAAAGTTTGATAAGAATAAGATACATTTTCTTCTCTTTGTAAGCCCTCACATTACCTAAGTGAAATTGTAGTTTGACATGCGTTAAAATGTGGATCCTACGAGGCAGAAATATATTTCATATATTAATTTGTATGAGTATCTCTGCAATCTTTTGTTCGTAATCTAATTATACCTCACCTTTGTCCACAACAGAGTTAGAACTGAAAGGAATATAGCTAGTAAAATCCTGACACTCTAAGTGTGAATTCTTACACATTTGTAAGATTCTTACAATAATTACTCATAAAAATGAGTAATAAATTCTTACTCACTTGTATAGAACAGATAAAAAGGTATTTAAACTGCTCTTCTTTTTAAAGGAAGGCAATATGTATAATACTTTTATGTATGCCCTGTTTTTTTTTAATAATCTTGGCTGGATTAACATTCTAGTAAAATTTGCAATGAAGTGGTAGAACCTGTGGTTAAGCAATGATAACAAAGAAGACATCAATAGAGCCCATTAAATTATCGCTCTTATTTGTAAACATTTAAGGAAATGAGCAAAAGCTTCCTAATACCGCATCTGCATAGTATTGGCCATGCTCCTTTCTCTGCTTTGTTTACTGCCGAGGAGCATATGAATACATTTTATAGCTGCTCCTCTCCCGTCCTCCCTTCCTTTCTCCCTTTCTTCCTTCCTCCCTTCCTTCCTTCCTTCCTTCCTTCCTTCCTTCCTTCCTTCCTTCCTTC